TGTATAGTATCATAAGGTTGTTTTTCTCCATTAAGTTTTTAACAACCTATTTGGAATCTTTCAAGTATAAGTAGTAAAGTAAGAATATCATTAAATGAATGGTCTGTCCTTTATCTTTTTTATTTGCTAAAGTCTTAAATATACTTGCGATTGTTTCCCTTTTTCTACTGTTTTATTTATCTTTTCCATACAAATTCAAAAATGTAATTCTTGCAGCTTTATACTTTATACTTTTTAGTATCTAGTTGGACAAAAGCAATCAGTCATTATATCAAGCCTGTGAAATGTGTAAGTGTAATCATCTCCACTTTATTTTAAAGTCGAGAAAACTGGGATCAAGGAATATGGCATTTGTATGCAGGTTTTCTTGACTCGAGAGCCCAAGTTCTCTACCAATCTATTATGCTGCCGCTTCATTTTCCCAAGTGTTCTGTGGTCACTCAATAAAAATCTGTAGTTTTCTTTGTGTAAGTCATACATTTCTTTTTTAAGTTTTTTCTTAAATGGTCTATATTTTTGTTGTTTTATAAGAGGAATTATTTTGTTCATGACATAGTATAATGAACCCATGGAGTTTCAATCTTTATGATTATCTAGCCACTTTACTAGGCACTTGAAAGAGAAAGAAAGCACCAAGTATACTTTTAGCATGATGCTTTTGGAGTTGAATTCATAAATGCTAAACCTATGAATATTTAAGAAAATGTTTAAAATTTAGTGAAAAGCATTTTAATATGCGTAAACATTTAAAAAAGTATTCAAATCACTTGTAAGCTTGTATTTTCATTAAATTTATACGCTTTTTCATTTTCGTGATTTCTTACAATTTATACTAAAGTTGTACGTTGTGCTCTTTGTAAGAGAGGTAAATCTATTTAAATATAATTTCCTTTTTTTCATTGCCATGAATCCTTTTTCAGTTCCTTATAAATTAGAATGATGGATGAATGATCTTGTTCATAAAACTTTGGATAACTCTAAGTAATACTAGACTTTTTAGAAAGGTTCTCCTTCTAAATTGACTGTCATTTGCATTCATTAATATTTGCTCTAAACTCAGTTATAAATTTCAATAAAATGAAAAGATGGATAATAGAAAAAAGATGGATAAAGCATCAAGACTTTCACCATTAAGTATGATGTTATCTGTAGGTTTTTTCTAGATGCCTCTTTTCAGATTGAGGAAGTTCCCTTCTATTCCTACTTGGGTGGGAGTTTTTATCATGAATGGATGTTGATTTTGTCTGATGCTTTTTCGTTATCAATTGACACGATCGTGTGGTTCTTTTTGTTTAATCTGTTAATATGGTGAATCATATTGATTTTCAAGAATTGAACCAGTCTTGAATACTTGATTGTGGTGTATTATGCTTTTTATATATTGCTGGATTCAACTTGCTTGTATTTTGTTGAGGATTTCTGCATCTGTGGTCCTACAGTATATTGTCTTTACTTTCTTTTCTTGTGTAACTAACTGTCTTGGATCTTTTTTATGTCTGTAAATGCTTGTTTCATGATATTTCCTTCTGATTGAGCTGTTATGTGACGGTTTACCTCTGCTTCATTTTTTGTTTTGGTTGGGTGGAGTTGGAGAATTTTCATTGGCTGAAATATTGAATTCTCATTTTTTGTTGTCTTCTTAGAATAACTTTATGTGAAACTTGCCTCCTATATTCTGTACATTTTGAAATACCTTAAATTATCCTGGGCTAATGTGATTTTATGTAGAAAAGATAAAAGATTTCGGTTGTTTCTAGGGTTCTTAGTTTTTTTTTTCTTCATTCTATTTTTGTTGTTGTTAGTGATATTTATATATCAAGAAAATTAGCCCTTTATCCATAAAATATGCTGCAAGTATATTCCGTAGTTTAGGTAATTCTTTTTTTTCCCTTTATAGAGTTTTATTTCCATATGGAATTTAACATTTTTTACATCTACATTTCTCATGCTTTTCTTCTTCTTTTCTAATAAATTATTTATGAACATTTTCCCCAATATAAGATTTAAGTATGTATAAAAATCTATGTATGTATATATGTATGTATGTATGTTATCTCTATCTCCCATGGCATCTTCTAGATCTTTGAATCATTTTGTGTTTATTTTTTAAACCTTAGATGTGTCTGGGATTTATTTTCAACTAAGATGCAAGGCAGCCCCCACTACACACATGTAGTCTGTCTATTAATTTTGGTTAGATTAACATTTAGTGAACTTTTATTACATCACTTTTTATTTTCAAATTGCATTTGAATGCACCAGGTATTCTGTCAGGTTTTTTCTCCTTAAAGAGATCTCTCCTGGAGCTTTCTGACTAACTCCATTATGATAGGCAGCCCTCTGTGCCTAGTTATAGTGGCTATTACTGTGGAATCATCCTGGGATTCCCTTTGCCTCTTTCCTGTATTCAGTATTCTCCTCTTTCTTGGTTTATTTACTCATGGTGAGCTTTGGGGGTATATAGAGGAGTGGTGGTATGATAAGTGATTTTTGTAAGAAGATAAAAAGCCAGATTAGGAAGAACCTTGTATGCCATGATAAGGAAATTTACCTTCATCTCTAGGGGTGCAGCATCTATTGAGAATATTTTATAGGTGAATAACATAATCATATTTACTGTTATAGGAGGTCACTGTGGTGCAGCTTGTAGAAGAGATTGGAAGAAAGCAAAGTTAGATAAAGCCTGTTACAGTAATTTAGGAAAGATATATGGTGCATTGAAATAAGGCTATGATAGCAGTAGGAGTATCATGTTTAGGGTAGGTGCTGGATTTAGTGTGGGATGTGCAATACGAAGGATTGCAATATACCTTTCACTCACATGCACCAAATGTTAACATTTTCCCATATTTGCTTTATAGTTTCTCTCTGTCTTTCTCTCTCTCTCTCGCTCTTACCCGTCCGTGTGCATGTGCATGTTTTCTTACCCACTTCAGAAGAGAGTGCAGACCTGATGCTCCTTTAACTCTAATTACTTCACTGAATACTCCATAAAAACAAGCCTTGGATTTAAAAATCAAGAAATTAACACTGTTTTACCGTTATTAGCGAACCTACAGACCTTATTCAGATTTTGCAATTGTCCCAGTAATGTTCTTTATGGGAAACAAAACTTCCAGATCTCGAATTGCAGTCAGTTATCATATCTCTTTCATCTCCTGTAATCTGGAACAGTTTTTTAGTCTATGGCCAGTGGAAATTTGGATGGGTTTGGAGTTATGTGTTTGTATGTGTTGGCGTGGGAAGCAAATTTGTGATTATGGTCCTTGGACCATAGAGTATAAATCAGAATTGGGAGTTGACTCTGTAGAAATGGTCTTTCTACTGTCTGTGTGCTGGAAAGGTGGAAACAGACCTATTACTCAAGGACACCTTGGCGTTGATTCTGTTTTTACCCCAGGTGATGAATTAGTTTGTTTACTTGCTTTAGGAACTAGATGAGACTGATGCATGGATGTAAATATATAGATATATCCTCATCCTTAAATAGTATCATATGCATGACTGTAAATTCTTCTCACCTGGCAATAGAGCACCTTATAAAGGACTGTGACATGGCAAAAAAATTGTGCTTCCTAAGTCTGCCTTTGATATATAGTGTTGCTGCTAGGTGCTTGCCTCTGTTAAGAACTTTTGGGGACCTATATTCCTGCTCTCTGCAGCCACTTTGCTAACAATACAATTCCACATTCCTGCCTACTTACGTTCATTAACATTATGTGTGTGTGTCTGTCTGTTTCCTCTTTTGCATATTGATAGGCACCTGAAACGATGTATAGTCTGACTGTTAAAAGGGAGAATAACCCTAATTCTTGTCAATACTTATCCCTCTGTGGTGCAGCCTCTATGGAAAACAGTATGGAGATTCCTCAAAAAATTAAGAATGGAAATACCATACAATCTAGCTATTCCACTGCTGGATATTTATCCAAAGAACATGAAAACATGAATGCGTAAAGATATATGCTCTCCTATGTTTGTTGCAGCATTATTCACAATAGCCAAGATTTGGAAGCAGTGTAGGTGCCTGTCGAGGGACAAATGGGTAAAGAAGATGTGGTATATATACATACTGGAATACTACTCAGCCATAAAAAAGGATGAAATCCAGCCCTTTGTGCCAGCATGGATGGCCCTTGAGGGTATTATGCTAAATGAAATAAGTCAGAGGGAGAAATTAAATACCGTATGATCTCACTCATAAGTAGAAGATAAAAACGATAACAAACACTTAGAGAGAGGGATTGGATTGGTGGTTACCAGAGGGGAAGGGGGTAGGAAAGAAGGTGAAAGGGGTGATTACACACATGTGCATGGTGCTAGACTGTAATTAGTTTTTGGGTGGTGAACATGATATAATCTACACAGAAATCGAAATATAATGATGCACCCCTGAAATTTATATAATGTTGTAAACCAGTGTTACCACAAAAAACAAAAAGATCCAACTTATTCCTCTGTGTTGTATTATACCTTTAATTAAAGAATAATATAGGAATATAGGTTTTTATTTTTGTGTCATATATTGGATATTGTTTTTGTTTTATGTCTGTATGACCTCAGACGTATGGATTAGAGATGTGATTTCTGTAAATGCAGGTTTGCTCAGAGGTTTGGATTACACACAGTTGTAACTTCTAGTTGTTCTAGGTACTCACTTTTGTGGTCGAGTGGTCAAGGGGCAGGCTTTGTTGTTCACCTGGCCAGCATTTGAATTGAACTCTGAATTTCAGCAAATTGCTTAACTTTTCAAGATTCGTTTTCCTTTTTAAAATTGGGATAATATTCTTAACGTTTTTTTGGTTCATTTTCAGGTTTAAATGAGATAATACATATTAAAAATTTAGTGTGAGTCTAGCACAAATTAACAATGCAAAAATGGTAACTGATGTCATTTTATTTCCTGCCACCTCTTTGGTTATTATAATCTACTCGCCCTGAGAGTTGACTACCCTGTTTACTTCATGTTTTCTCAAAGAGATTTTTAATGTCTTCCACAGGATTTTGTCTCTACAGTTATCCGTTTACTTGACAGCCCCTCAACTTCCATTAGAGCAAAGGCCTTCCTGGTTCTTTTGTATATTTTGATTCATAACCATGAGATGCTGCTGCTCAGCTGCCAAGCAAGGTATGATTTTCTCTCACGGTTTCATCAGTATCTTCAATTTGGTGCCTGTCCTGTTTTATTAGTAGTATTTCTTGGCCTCTGTTTACCTGGCAATGAAATTTTTTTTCTAGGCTGTTGCAAGGGTTTAATATTTCACTTACAACCTCAGCTTGCTAACACTGAGGACCCAGGGAAGACCTCTGGAACTGAATCAGGCTGGTGGGAAGTACCTGGAGTTTCCTCCATCCAAGGACAATCCATGGCGTGGTGTTAGTTGGTCTGCTTTGCATCTTTGGGAGGCATCTTGGATAAGTGGTTTGGTTGTAGTTTTCATTATTGTAAGATTCTGGAATGAGTAGCCGAAAGCCCGGAGGAGCAGCCTAGTGAAGTAGAAGGAGCAGGGCAAGGATCAGGAGTTCATGGACTGGTCCTGATTTCACCTCCCAGAAGCTGCTCTGGATGCAGCTCAGGTTCCCTGCATGCTCTGATGCTTCCTGATTAACATCTTCTGAACTGTCCGGTATGTGCTCTATTGAAACCTGGAGGAGCCTTGAAAATATGGTTTAATGTCTATTTCTTGACCTAGCTTTTTACTAATTGTGGAATATGAAGGAGAGCCTGGAATTGTTGAGATTGATCTAGATTAGGGATTGGGAAACTTTTCCTGTGAATAGCTAGAGAGTAAATATTTTAGGATTTCTGGGTCAAGAGGCAAAACTGTGGATATTATAGTAGGTACTTATATTACAAGAGAGAAAACAAATTTCCACAGATTTTTTATTGACATAAAATATATACTACTGATAATTGAATATATATATATATTTTGTAATACAGGTCTACTAATGAGAAGAATAACATTTGTTTTTGGGGAGAAGGAGATCATTTTGCTTAATTAGGGGTCAAAGTTAGTGTTCTCATCATAAGCAATTGTAAATGTTCATGTTAGTGCTGATCTCTAATGCAATTTTGTGTATCTTATCTTCGAAAATGTCTTTCACACAGAAAGGTACTGCCACATACCAATATCAGTTCATGAGCACCTGATTTTAACTGAGCATATTCATTGCTTGGAAGGCCTTTGTTGGATTCTGTCAGAGTCTCCTTGACACGTGCCTTTTAGCATGTCATTACATTGCGGATGGATCACTTCTAACTGAAGGTTATGTGGAAGCTCCTAACAAGCCTCCTTTGTTTTCCATCTCTCAGGGTCACTGCCCTTCATTGTTTTCTGTCTCATGTCTTGGAAACTGATCTTTCATATATTTTGTCTGATTTTAGTTGTTTTAGTCGGGATGGTGAATCCTGTCCCTGTTAGTCCATTATGGCTGGAAGCAGAAGTTGTTCTTGTCTATTTTTAAAGGCCTCACCACTACTTTGCTGCCTCTAATCTCTCCTTGTGTCTGTCGTCATTTTTCACCAGGACAGATTAATATAGTTTCTCAAGAGATGTTTTACATCATTTCTTGGATTCACAGTCTGGCCTCCATGTAGCAACTAGAGTATCTCTTACACAGTGTGAATCAGCTGTTGTTTCTCCCCTGCTCAGACTCTTCCAACGGCATCCTGTGGTGCTGAGTAATACCCCTGCTCCTCACCATGGCCTACTCTGCCCACTTCGTCTTGTCCCTGCCTGCCTTTAGCCCTTGTCTCCTAGGACTCTTCTTTGTACTCACTCCATTCCAACCACATAGTTTTTCTCATGCTTTTTGAGCACAGTAAACCTATTACACTCACCTCAGGGCTGTTCCCCTTTGCTATCCTCTGTGCCCATAATGCTCTTACCCAAGATGTTTGCATGGCTAGCTTCCTCAGGTCATTCAGGTTTTTGTTCAATCTAAGGGTTAGTTCTTCTGAGAGCCTCTCTGATCATTGTATCTAAAATACCCCTCATAACTCCAACTCCAGAAACTCCTTAACTGGAAAGAACTAAAAGATTCAGACATCAGAGCCTGGGTGTGATGCATTTGGTTCTCCTAGGAAATTGCTTTGATTTCTGTGTCTCTGAATGAATATTTAGAAACTTGAGCAGTAGTGGGAAGATGTTGGCCTGAATGCATACCCTAACCCTGGCTTCCACTCTGCTCTCTCTCTGGAGCAACACAACACACAGGATGAGCATAGAGGGGGGCCTGGGAGATGAGGCTTAGCTTTGAAGGAGAGGTAAGGCTACGCTTCATTCTTCCTGCACTGTGTGGCAGAGATGATGCCCTATCTTCTAAACCTGGGTGAATAGCAGACCTTGGGGCTTCCATAGGGCCCAAAATGCAGATGCTTTCTGTGTGTGGTTGTTGGGGCCAGCACTCCTAGTCCCAGAAGCTCAGGAGCAGGACTCACATGGGGACTGATCTGCCCCAGTCTGTGAGGCTGCAGGGACATGATAACATTGTCCTGCATTTGAAGAGGAGAGTTCCTTCTCACCACCTGCTTCTTTGCCACAACCTGTCCTGATCAGGTGCTGAGTGGGTGAGGAAGGCATGAGTAAGCAGAGATTCGTCATAGTCCACTGAGAGAGACACAGTGCTTGAAGGATGAGGAACAAGAAGAACAGGCAGCTCTTACTGAGGCAGAACTAATGGGATAGACGGAATTTTAACAAACAAGTAATGAAAACTCTGTGGAGAGGCACTTTTTTGAAATTCAGCGGAAGAACTGAAAGAGAATGGCCTCTGCTGGGGATGGCATTAGTGCTTTGAAAGGCAACATGAAAGAACACATTGAACCACACAGAGCTGATTACAAAGACATGGAAAATTCATGTGAAAACATTTGGAAAGATGCAGTATAGGTCCAGAAGACCTCACAAGCAAAGTGCCAGGAATTCCAGGAGGAAAAAGGGAACAGATGGAGGAAGATTTCTAATTGAAGAAATAATAGCAGTCATCTTCTGCTTGAACATGCTCTCTTCTGATTCTCTGTTAAACTATGAATAAGAATTAAAAAGTCACAAAACCGCAAGGGCAAGGAGGAAGATGGCTAAAGCCGACGGTGTTGTCACGTGTCTTTGTATTTGTGGAGCTGGAAAGCTGACAGATAATTGCTAATTTAACAGATTGGAGATTGCTGAGATCCCGTTTTGTCTGCAAGGGGAAAGGCCATGATGAGACATGATTACTGCATGACAGAGCTCTGGAAAGGTTGGGAATTAGGGGCACTAGGTACCACTGAAGGCAGTGAGAGGGACATGAGACTCAAGATAGGAGGATTGATGGGCAAACCGAATGGAGATTTGATTCCCACCCCTCCTCCCCAGCGCTGAACATCCTGGAGACTCCTCTTCCACTGCCGCAGGAGGCTTGAAATGTATTCTGGATAGTGTGGCTGGAAAGGCTATAAATGTGGGGGTTCTAGACACAGATAAGAGGGAGATGAGGTGCCTTGTGAAAGATCAGAGAATTGTATGAAAATCCAGTTACTCTGAGAGATGAAGGGCTTCAGCCCCCTACCCCTACTTCGCTTACAGATTGTTGGCAGCCTGGCTTACATACTGTTGGCCAGAGTTTGGAAATTCTCAGGGAAGCTGACCAACCCCCAATCAAAGCCCACTAGGGGCTGACGTTTGGGTGTCCCTTTCTGCACCTAGTGAAATCTTGCCTAATATTCCTGTAGCGGAGCCCGTCAGTCGTAAACCCGACTCCTGCACACACACAGAACTTCCAACAACACTGTAATGCACCATTTAAAAATATAAATGGGAGCTGGTGCCATAGCACAGTGGTTAAGTTCGCACATTCCGCTTCAGCGGCCTAGGGTTCGCTGGTTTGGATCCCAGGTGCGGATATGGCACTGCTTGGCAAGCCATTATGTGGTAGGCATCCCGCATATAAAGTGGAAGAAGATGGGCCAGATATTAGCTCAGGGCCAGTCTTCCTCAGCAAAAAGAGGAGGATTGGCAGCAGATGTTAGCTCAGGGCTAATCTTCCTCAAAAAAAAAAAAATATAAATGGACAACCAAGAATTATTAAATATTTAAGGGAAGTCTTTAACATGGAACAAAACTCACCAACGGTAAAAGGGACTTGACAGAAACAGAGACTAAAGTTATGAACAGACAGTTCACGTAAAAAGGAATGCGGATGACCCTTAGGCCTATGAGTAAATGTTAAATCTTCCTCATCATAAGGGAAACACATCATTATTCCTCATTATAAGAGAAACTATGCTGAGTACCATTTCTCACTCAATGCATTGGCAATTTCTGGAAACATATTCTTTTGGTGAGGCTGTGGAGAAACTGGCACACTCATACATTGCTGGTGGGAATAAAAAATATTGTAACTACTATGAAGAGGAATTTGGCAATGTCTGGAAAAATTATATATTTTTACCCTTTGTCCCAGCCATCTCACTTCTATGATACAGTGTCCAAAGATCTATTCTTAGCAAAGAAGTGAAATGAGACACGCACTATGCATTATTTTTTATGGCACAAGACTATAAACAACCCAGATTTCCATCAGCAGGAGACTGGCTGGAGAACTGTGGTCATCCTTGTGTAGTTTTCTATTCCTGCCGTAACAAATTACCATAAACTCAGTGGTTTAAGACAATGCACTTGTATTAATCTGACAGTTCCCATGGGTTGGGAGTCCTGGCTCCGTGTAGCTGGACCCTCTGCTCACGTCTCAAAGGATTGAAGTGAAGGTGTTGGCTGATGCTGCAATTCTCATCTGAGGCTGGAGTCTTCTTTCAAGCTCACTGATTGTTGGCAGGATTCATTTCTTTGCAGCTATAGGACAGAAGTCCCCGTTTCCTTGCTGGTTTTTGGCTGGGGCTTGCTCTCAGCTTCTAGAGGCAGTCCCTCCTCTCCATTGGCAGTTCACAGCAGATCTTTGCTTTCTTCCTGGAGGCCAGTAGGTGAATGATGGAGTGGGACTGTGCATAATTTCATCATGCTACTCAGAACAGTGTGCAATCTAAAACTTATGAATTATTTGTTTCTGGAATTTTCCATTTAATATTGTCATACTGCGATTGACTGGATACAAACCCACTGAACTCAGTTCAGTGGGTAACTGAAA